GGCCATTGGCCGCATGTCACTCGGACGTTGAATTCGCTACTATGTTTCAAACTTAGTTTATTATCCGGCCATTGGCCTCACGTCACTTGGACATTAGTTTAGCTACTAAGTTTCAAACTTAGTTTATTATCCGGCCATTGGCCTCACGTCACTTGGACGTTGAATTTGTTACTAAGTTCCAAACTTAGTTTATTGAATTAATAAATCAATATTCAATAATAATAATAATAATAATAATAATAATGATAATAATAATAATAATAATAATAATAATGGTTATAATGAAAATTCATTATAATTATTATTATAAGGGAATAAATTAGTAATTTATTATACTGTTACCTCAAACATTCAATGCTTGGCGCGGCTTTGATTTGCTTTAAAAGTTTTAAGAATCGGAGCCGGAGATATCACAAGCTCCTTGATGTAGTACCATGCGGCATTTGTCATTTCATGCTGCTTGTCTTGAACTTAATTTGCCGCCTGTGCTAACTCATACAAGCTCAAACACAAGTTCTCAAAGGTTGGTCGGCATTGGCAATCGTTTGATTTTCAGTTGCTCTTCACCTATTTGCAGCTGCTTGAGTAAGCTTTCAAAGGGGTGAGCCTGTATAACAGATATCACAATGGGCTTCAAGCTTTAGCTTACAGACGGGCTTTATGGCAGCCGGGCTTGAGCTCAACGAACCGATGCCACAGCCGATCTTGATTGATTGTTTTATATATATATATATATATATATATATATATATATATATATATATATATATATATATATATATATATATATATATATATATATATATATATCATAATAATGATAAATATGACAGCCATTGCAGCCGGCTTTGAGGTTGAACAAGGCAAACATGGCAGCCGGACTTAATTGCGGCAGGAAACAGCCCCTGCTGCCACCATTGGTTGCTCTAACCGGCTCGGGCTGAATTTGAGTCGGCATATTTTCCGCTTGTATATGTGAGTTAGAGGCTAGCTTCTCTAATCTTGAGACATACTCAACATATTTGCCGTCTTGCTATATTGTGAGCTGAACACTTGATGTCGTCTAACAACTTTAATTAAAATGCTCAAGAATGACATTTTACTTGAATTGTTGTTCACATGGAGCTCGTAGCTTCCCACAAATGGATATTGGTCGTATGTAATATTACTGTAATAATGGAGTAGCTCGATAGTGCTTGCCATCTGGATAATTTATTACTTGACTAGTGTACATACAGCCGGGATAAATTGATGAGCAAGGATGCCCCTTCAGCCGGGATTAATCGATGAGCATTTGAGCCATAGCAACCGGTTAACCGAGGCAGGAAACAGCCCCTGCTGCCACCGTTCACAGCTCCGACCGACTGCCACCTTTGATAACCACCACCGGCTGACACTATTGGAGAAAAACTGCCCCATGCCGCCTGCATTAATATTTGCATAACACTAATGCGGCCTGTCAACCAAGTAGTTGTCCAGCCATGATTACATGGCAAACGAGCTTTCGGCATGACACACGGCACCATGGCCGGATGCCTTACCACCCACAATCGGCTTTTGGGCTGCTCTAAAAGCTTAATAATCGGAGCCGGAGGTGTTACAAGCTCCTTCTGTAGCGCCATGTGGCATTTGTCAATTTATGCCGCTTGCTTTTAATTTAGTTATCCTTTATGCTTACTCATACGGGCTAGGACACAAGTTCTTGAAGGTTAGTCGGCTTGGGGATGTCAAGCAACTGACCTTGAAAAATGAGTTTGATCACTGACTATACAGACGGCTCTTCATGCCGTATGTATATTGCCATAATGAGGAACAACGCAACCGGATTTAATTGGTGAAAAAGGCAGCCATGCATCCGGCTTTGAGGATGAACAAAGCAGCCCGCAATCTTCCTTATTTTATTAACAAGGCAGCCACACAGCCGGATTCAATTGGAGAACAAAGTAAAACAACAGCAGCCCCTGCAGCAAGGTGCTTGATTGTGGAACAGAGCAGGCGGTTGGGCCGGCTGACACCATTCACAGTGATTACCGGCTGCCACCATTGATAGCTCTGACCGGCTGTATCACTCAGGCATCCACCTTCTAAGTGCCGCTTGACTCCATTATATAAGTCGACATATTTGCCGCTTATAATGGAGTTAGCTTGGCCCGGCTGGTTGCTTTTATTTGAAAGACATACTCACGTCTCACGAACTAGAGATGACACTCCATTTCTATGAAATAGCGACTTTCGACCTCAAACGCAAATGCTGCATGCGGCTTTTCATATATCTAGATATATGGATATTTGTTTGATAAAGATTAGACATTACAATAATGCCGCATGTATTACTTGCTAGTTGGCCGTTTAAGTATCATGTTGCAACTAAGCTAGCTGCTTAATATTTTGCAAGTGATGTGCTTTGGCTTGATCCATCAGTTGAATAAACTAGTGGATTCTAGTAAATGAAGTATGCTATAGCTGTCATTTACTTATAAAGGTGGGAGTAGCTCTTTAGTGAGGATGTAATTTGTCAGCTCACTAAAGAAATAAAATAGTGTGGTTGGCCAATTTGGCCGGCTCACTCCTTTATTTTTTATTTTTGTTTTTTACAAAAAATGGATTAGCTCATTCTATTAGTTATCAAAACTAGTGGAATAAATAGATAAAGTAGCAGGCGGCTGCCGTATGTATACATCCGGTTGTGAAGCATGCGGCCGACTCATTAGATTGGTCGGATTAGGGTAGTGGAGTTAGCCAATTTAGCCGTCTCACCCCTAATGTATTATCCCCCAACTTAGATCAAACGGCATTGCCCTTTAACCTTCCATTGTGAGAATAAAAAATGCATATCTTAGTCTGACAGGCCTTTTTGGCCGCCTGACTCTCAACATTCAGCCTCATGACGCCTGCTGTACTTGACATCTGGCCTCATGACAATTGCTGCCTCCCGAAGGAGGCTACCCTCTTGAGTCGGTGATCCACTACCGTTGTGCCATTACAAATGTGTCTCCCCACAGACGGCGCCAAATGTTTTGGGGTTTTTTGTACGTACCCGAATGGAGGGTGTGTACGTCCCTCGGGAGACAGATCTGCAATGCAACACTCGAACGGCCCGATCACCTGCAAAACAACGGACCCCAGGGGGGCCGGAGGTCCGCCTCCAACGATCAAGTCAGTGACCGAAATAATGTATTTTAGAGAGAAAGTAGAGAGAAGGGAGAGTAAATGTGGGGGGCATTGCCCTTGGAGAGAGAATTGGATCCCTTGAAACTGATGTAATGATCAGTATTTATAGAGTATTGGGATATGTGCCTCTTAGGTTATTTAACCTAAATAGATTGGCTTCCCACCGTTTTACGGTTTCTAGGGTTGTGGGCTTAAAGCCAATTTTCACCCTTCTATCATTGAGTGACACGTGTCATGCTCTAATTGGCTCATTGAGCGTTGAGCTTGCGGACACGTGTCGAGGTGGCATTGGTCCACATATATAGGGGGTATTTTTACCCCCAAACAGAAGGTATTTACGAAAAGAGACGAGTGATGTGACGATCGAGTCAGAAATCCAACGGCTAGGGAAATTTTAAAATTTAAATGGAAAACCATTAGATTAGCAACACGTGTCTTACCCCAATCCATATTTCCCGCTCTTTCTACTAAAACCTAATAAACGTTTCAACTCCTACACGACTACGTTCTGTTAAGCAGACCTTGTGTCCTGTCGGCGCACAAGGTCACTTGGGGGGAAAAACAGAGTTTTTTCGCTCCAAGTTCTTTTCTTAGGTAAAACTTGTGTCTTGTCGGCACACAAGGTCACTTGGGGGGAAAACAGAGTTTTTTCGCTCCCAGTTCTTTTGCTAAGTAGACCTTGTGTCCTGTCGGCACACAAGGTCACTTGGGGGGGGAATGGAGTGTTTTCGCTCCTAGTTCTTTTACTAGGTAGACCTTGTGTCCTATCGGCACACAAGGTCACTTGGGGGGGAAAACGGTGTTTTTTTGCTCCCATTTCTTTTTTTGAGTAGACCTTGTGTCTTGTCGGCACACAAGGTCACTTGGGGGGGAAAACGGAGTTTTTCGCTCTCAAATCTTTTGTTAAGTAGACCTTGTGTCCTGTCGGCACACAAGGTCACTTGGGGGGGGGGGACGAAGTTTTTTCGCTCATCGTTCTTTTGTTAAGTAGACCTTGTGTCCTGTCGGCATACAAGATCACTTGGGGGGAAAACGTAGTTTTTTCGCTCCCAGTTCTTTTATTAAGTAGACCTTGTGTCCTGTCGGCACACAAGGTCACATGGGGGGGAACGGAGTTTTTTCGCTCCCAGTTCTTTTGTGAAGTAGACCTTATGTCCTTTCGGCACACAAGGTCACTTGGGCGGAAAACGGAGTTTTTTCGCTCCTAGTTCTTTTTATTAGGTAGACCTTGTGTCCTATCGGCACACAAGGTCACTTGGGGGAGAAACGGAGTTTTTTCCCTCCTAATTCTTTTATTAAGTAGACCGTGCCTAAACATGCCCAAAAATAACATCCTGTGTACAAAATACATTGTGCCAGAAGCCATCCTAAATATTACAGTCCATATTTTCGCTGGAAAAAGAAAGCCCGAACATATCATAAAATTAAATGATGAAAATATTAAAACACAGCTTCCTAAAAGAGAAATAGAACCTAAAGTTTGGTCATTATCCTAAAGTGAGAACGTAGATCTATAATCAAACGTCCTCACTTGGGGGGCTAGTTGTATGGGATGATATGTGAAATGGGCTGACATCTTCGTTAATATGGATATGAGCCAAGCGTAACTGATAAATAGGCTGATATGTCCCATAAAGCAAACATATTGGCTTGACGGTACTTGGCATGTGGCAACAATAGCTTGACAGTTGGCAAGAAAAGCCTTGCGTCCTTTGTAGCCACCTGTCATGAGATTTAATATAAATAGTAGGTTAAGCTTCATTAATGGTAAGCATTTATTACTCTCTCTCTACTTTCTCTCTCTAACTTATCTTCTTTTTCTTAAACATATTCTAGCTTTACCATCGGAGTTGTTATCCCCGGACCACCCCGAGGCTAGCTAACTTCTGCTCATTGTGTAGGTTTTCAGCTTGTCGATAGGAGTATCAGGATCTCGGGTTTGGACTCTGCGGCAATCGGATCTTTGCAGAAACACTTTGGTATCAGTTCAACACTTCTTCTCTTCTCTTTCTCTCTCTTCTTTATTAAATGATTTCTAAAATGGTGGATGTTTACAGAAACGAACTAGGGCTTGGAAATTGAATCGAGAACCTGTTAATGAGCGAAGTCCGACTGATCCTGATGTTGATGATTCTTTCGACAATTTTAAGAAGGTTCGCCCTAAAGCTAAGCGATTTTAAGAAGGTTCGACCTAATTAACTTTTCGCTTTTACTTGTACTAATAATATTAATGCACTTCGATTGTTTGCTATTTTCTGAAACAGTAATTAAGTTTGAATTAAGTCCGCGTTTCAGTAGCTAAAATGGCGGATGAAGCAAGCGGAACAGTATGTTAAAGCTTAATTTTAGCAAATTTTTAGTGTTTTTAATTTTAAATTAATGATGCAAATTTTGGCCTAATTTTTTAGTAATTTCGTTATTATTTGTTTAATGTAATTTTTTAGTTCAGTTGAGAAATTATAAGATTATTTCTGAAGGTTATGCACCCAATATGCTTAGCGTTGTTACAGGTGTAAATACCAAGTGATCGTGAAATGAAAGATGAAAATTGTTTGTGAAAATTAGTTCAGTTGAGAAATAATAAGATTGGTTTTTATAAAATAGTTATTCTGAAGGCTATTATTATTTGAGGAATGAGTTTTCCAGTTTGTGGGATGAATTAGATAGCTACTTTAAAATATATATATATAAAAAATGCTTGTACGCCAGTGTCATAAAATGTGTCTGCCAAAAAGATGTGATGGCTGCTTGTGTAACCGGAGGTATTGAGCTACTTTTACATATATAAGAATTCACATACTGATTGGATCTTTTGGCTACGTGATGCATATCAAAAAATTTTATATTCCTTTTATGAATGCCTTTGGTGCATATATTTCAAAAATTGAACTCTTGCATTTTTCATCCCTGCTATTTGTTTCTCTCTTTAGGATCCTTAGTGCACTTGTACTCTGGTGTAATGGGATACTATTCTTTTCTTTCAGTGAAGCAATCCACATAAAGAACTTGATACTCAATGATCTCTATTATCATCTACAAGGATAGTTGGAGGGACAAGACATTGAGCATGGTGCATTCAAGGAGCTTTCCCAGTTCTTATCTAGCTCAAATCTTCTGCAAACATACCAGAAGAAGTGTGTTAATGACTACTCGACAGGAGCCAACAATGCTTACCTATTTGATCTTTGGCGCCTCCAACATGCCATTGGCCTTCATATTTGGGATTACTCATAATGGAAAGCGTCAAAAAAGATAGCAGAGAATACATTATTTTATGTGTAGCGTGCCAACTCCATCCTGTTAATCCTTGGTTCAAGACTACCAGCGTTGCGAGCTCTTGTAACAATTTTCACTCTCGATATGTGGGATGTAAGTTTGTAGCTTTCCTTATTTTTCTTATGTTATCATTGTCTGAGTTTTGGGTAAGTTCTGCATAGTCATAAAAGACTTGATTACTATGATTAGTTCTGTAGTGTGGTTCTTAAGGATAGCCATCTAGAATGTGCATTTGCCCACTTCTCTATGAGTACTCAGTAGGGTGGAGCTACCGGAGCATTTATCTTCTATGATTTCAATTGATCAATTTGGTTGAATTCTGCGATTACATGTTTACTTCTACATTGTCTATTTTACAAACATGCATTGAACAATCCTCAATCCTTTTTCTAAAGGTTGTCTTTCCTATTTCCAATTGGTCTTTTTAATTGCTTACTGTATATTATGTTGTTTATCATATATTCACCTACTTGTTTGGTCATACTAAAAACTTGCAATTTTGGTGTGAAAAACTTGCTTGAGTCTAGACTATTTGGTAACAAGGTTAAAAAAATAATTAGGTCCTTATTTTGATTAGGGAGGTTGCTAGGGAGCTTACAATGTGATACTTGGTATAATACTTAAATTTACTTGAATATGTTAAGCTGATAATCATCTTCAATAGATTGTCATTGTTTTGGTTATGCAATTGGCGAAAGTTTAGTTATCAATAGCATCCTTCCCCCCAAGAAAAAATGTATTTTCTTCAATATGGTTTACATACAATTTGGGCTTTAATCTATATTCAACATATTGCAAGAAACTATGATGTTCTGCTACCGATAATTGGCTGTTAGTTATCTTTTTTTGTGCTTATGTTTGTTATGGTGTGACACTGTCTTGGTTAAAGCTGATCATTTATAAATGGCGATATCTACAATGAGTTACTTCTGGAGTTTCTGTGGCATTATTACCCCCAGGTTTGTGAACTTTTTTCTTTTCAATGCTCAAGTTAAATTGACTTATCTCATTGGGTCGTGAGGTCTTCATCTGTTTGGTTGTTGGATAAGATTGTATATTTTGGGGAAGTTTTGGTGAAAGTAGCTAGCTGAATAATGTTGTTAGTTTGAGATTATTTTGAGCTCCCTATGAATTTTGGCTCACATTACAAGGTAAATGTGATTTTAGTTACGTTTTGTTGTACTAGTAATCTACACCTTTATCCACATTTTATAAAAATTGTATAGTAACCTATTTTTTTTCCTAAAATCCCTTATGGCCTTATGTGGTCTTTGTTGATAACAAAATGATAGACCTCCTAGCTTATCACTGGTGATGTTATGCTGCTTCTTAATATTATTTATTTTTATTAACCTCTAATACATTTTCTTCCTCATTGTCATTTATTTCCCATGTCCAACCTCTATGGAAGTTTAAACTTTAAAGTTCCTTTTAAGGTGAAACCCTTCACCTGATTTTTTGTTTGATTGTTTGTTTGTTTTTTTTTTTTTAAAAAAAAATTTGTTTTGTTTTCTTTGGAGTGATGTACATAACCCTACCAAGTTTATTTCATGAAGACTGTCCTAGATAGACAATTAACTTATTTTAACCTTCACTTTAAAAGTAAACTAAAATTGTTCACTCCTTGGATGTTGTAGGTTGCTCTCCTTAACTATGATGGAGGTTGTTAGGAGTATGTCAGGATCATATGTTTTCCTACTACTATTGTGGATCTCCTACTAAGTAAGAATGTAGCTTCTTCTGTGGGAGAAGTAACTGCTTTCCCAGTTATTGTTTGGGTGTCTCTACTAGGAGTGTAAAACTTTAGTTTTCAAGGTTAGGCTCTAAATTGACAAATGCCTCTACTCTTGAGTGATTTATTGTTTTTTATTGGCATTTGGTGATACTGAACTACTGATGATTACTTGGTGGTTTCTACTTGATCTGTGGTAGCTAACGGTAATACATAATTGAAAAGTGAGATTTGATTCAATTCAGTGATTTGTATATAATAGAAATAACTGGAGAAATGGAAGGGCAACTCGTGTTCTTGGATAATATTTATGAGGAAAATGATAATTAGAAAACAAAAACCTAATTTTTAGGTCTAATTCTTTTGAGATCGTGATGTTATGGTTTTAGTGAAATGAACTGGAATGGTGTAGAAATTTGTGGTTTATGTTAGATGAACTGTAATATTATGGATTGGCATCGTATACATGTGTATATTGATTACTTGTAGTTTTAATTGTAGTTAATTTTTGTTGCAGACAACTATTGTGCTCTTTGGTGATCAGGAGATCCATTTGGTGGCAATGCGTACTAGAAGAACGGATGGTGTATCAGCTGCTTGTATATTAGTTTTTTTATATCAGCTACTTGTTTATGGAAATTCTAAAGTTTTTCTTTTTAAACAAGCTCTCTTAAGTTTTAGTTATTAGTTTATTGTATATTAACTTGTATACTATATTTTTAATTAGATTACACACTATTTGTTTTTTGTAACGGGCATTTTGAAATGTCCGTTACAAATAACCCCGTTATTCAAAACGGGAACTTGTTTTGCCCGTTACGAATTTCTACTTATTTGTAACGGGCAAATGCCCGTTACAAATAACATTTGCTATCCGTAACGGCCGCATATGTAACGGTTGTTGCCCGTTACGGATGGGTTGTTTTTACCCGTTACGGATAGGCTTTTTTTCACTAATGCCCCTAGCTAGCCATGCTAGGCTCGACTTTGTGTGCATGCTAGCTACCTTTGTTTTGGGTGTGTTTGTCCCTCAGGAGAGTCACAGCTCCAAGATTTTTCCGACGCGCTCTGTTCCTGCAAAATATGAAGACTCCGGTTGGTAAAAGCTCTGTCTCTGACGATCAAGTTAGTATTTGTCGAAGAATAAAAAAAGGTGCGAAAAAAGATGAATGTGAAATCTTCTCGGATTATGAGATCGGATGCTTTTTCTTATGTGAGAGAATGTAGGGATATTGTAATAAATGTACCTGCAACAAAAATAGGGGAAATCTTCCTATTTATAGGGTTACTGGGAAAAGTGTCATTTCTTAGGTCATTCTAACCTAAGTTTGGTGGGTTGCGCCGTAATACGGCTTTCTTGGGATTTAGGCTAGGAAGGCAACCTTTTCTCCCATTTTTTTGGAGGGACATGTGTCATTAGGTGAGAGATCCAGCTGGGCCTCTCATAGGTTGACACGTGTCAGCTTCTAATAGGGCCACGCGTCTTGGGTAGTTTTACCCAAAATATTTGCCCCTTAAAGATGTGATGTGGCATGCCACGGGGCATCTGTGACATTTGTCACGCATCTAGGAAAATTACGGGGTTGCCACAGGATTTACCCTCTATAAATACTATCTTTGCCCCATTTTTTGCATATTCACGAAAAAAACTCATGAGAGAATATGAGAGAACCTTTGACTTTTCATAAAAAAAACTTTCCATCTCCCGCTTACTTTCAACTATCTGACACAATTGGCTCAAGCAACTTTCAATTGTACCTTCAAAAGGTAACCATCTGCTCTTTCTCTCTCTTTTTATTTCACTTTTCCGTATGTGTTTGTTTTTCCTCATTATAAATGGTTTCACAAACACAAACGACACGGCCTAGGATAGCAGTCAGCTGGTTACCTAGGACGGCTGAATCTCGTACTAGGGTTACCGCTAGCCCCAATCTGCACTCGTCCCCAATTCCGACCGTCTCTATTTTTGTGCAGGATACTATGGCAAAAACTAAAAGGACAACTCATGCGTCAAGTGATGAAGAGGACAAGATTCCTATTACAGTGCCTAGGAACGAAATCTCCTATCATCCTTCTGGTATCCCAACCACTCCGAATGACTCCATTTTTAGATGAATTAAGAATGAATCTGGTGATGGGTCATCAGGCTCCGAACAGGGGTCATCCCAGACGGATACTACCTCAGGCGGCTGTAAGAGCGAAGAGAGGCCGCTTGAGGCTGTCGAAGAGGAATCTGAGGGGGGAAACTGCCTCTACCGAACGAGGTCAGGAGGAGACATGTTCCTCTCTTCAAGAGCTGTACACCTCATATGTTACTTACATTACCGCTGCAACTCAAAGACTCATGCGAAAAAACATAGAGGATATCTTTTACACCTTAGTGATTGGGCCCAACTATAAAATAAATGTCCGAGCCCTTGACAACACAGTTGTCTGGCCACATGGCCAAAGCTATGGGGACTCTAGCTTTGGCTGTTATGTAGCCGCAATATAGGCGGGCCTTCGGTTCCCTGTGATCCAGCTGTCAAAAGGATCCTTGATGGGTACCGTCAGGGAGTAGGGAAGCTAGCACCCAATTCTTAGGTTAACATTTTCGGATATGTGGCCGCCTGCAGGATGTAAGGAGTAGAACCTTGCTTTGAGGCATTCACCTCTATGCATTACTTAAGTAAGGCTCACAAGTCATCCCGACCCGTTTGGTACACTTTGTCTTGTAACAAAGGTTAAATTATTACTTTGGGGAAAAAGTCTAAGTGGAAAGATTGGAGGAATAAATTTTACATCATCTCTTCCCTAGACACCACCCAAAATAAAAAATTCAACTCTTAGAACCAGAACCCCTATCCCTTGGGTATAAAAGCAATTCTCCTACATGTATCTTACGAAGGTTGGGATCAAATTTTAACGCCAAGGATGTTTAAGGTTGAAATTAAAACTTTACAAGGGGATCTGAGAAGGAGATTATCCAAATGAGTTACATCCCTAGGTTTGAATGGTTTATGGATCCCTTTTTCCTGGGAGCCCATTGTCTGAGCAAAGAAAAAGGAAACGGTGGGCTGCCGGATGAGTGTTTTGTAGAGCATTTAAATTTTTACGTTGCTTTTTTTACTAACCACTCACTCGGCCTTCCTGCAAAAGAAGTTATGTCTCAACTGGACCCTAGGAAAAAGCCTAGAAACTTAGCCAGCGCATACCGTCAGATGATCGGGTAAAAGAGCTAGATCATCAAAAACGATTAACTAGAGCATGTAAGCTCTCATACATCCATTAGATTGTCTTAGACTTATTAGTTACACTTTTGCTAAAAGTTGTATTTTTACAGGAATCATCTTTGAAGCCGCCGGTACTGCCGGATTTCGATTTTGCGAGCAAATCTTAATCCCACCCCTCAACCAGCGGTAAGTCGCCGGCTGCTATAACTCTTAAGCAGGCGGAGGAATCCAAGTCCCCAAACAACAAGCATCCTACAGGTGCTGCCGCCAACTCTCCAGGTGGTCTTTCCAACAGGTATAAGGACAAGAGCGCCTAGGATTTGGTCGTGATACCAGGTAGCACCACCTTGTAGGGTTAAGACTTATTGCCAGTCGCCAACAAGCTCTGAAGCCAGCCGGTCTATTAGAATGATCTATGCCAGCCTCTCGCCAAATGTTTTATGTGCAAATGCTCCTCAGATTACGAATGTGCGGCAAATAGCTAAGCATATTCTCATGGCCGTCTCCGCTGAAAAGCGTGACTCCATTAAAGGAGTCGGCTTCTTTAACTTTGATGCCATACTAGTGACCCTCGTTTTTCTCTATACGACGATCTTAGCCGTCTAAGTACATTAGAAGCAATAAGTCATGTTAATTAAAGTTACACTTATTTCATGAAAACCACCAAGATGTATTACATACAGGCGGATTGCCTACTCCTAGGTAGAGTAGTTACTATCCAATTATATACCTATCTGTATATCTCATTGGGAATACTTTTTATAGGATAATAATTCTAAGTCGTTATCTAAGTAAGGGCATCATGCAAATTCCGGATGTGTTGTTAGACACAACCTCTTTCAAAGTCATTTACATTTCCTTTAGATAACTTTCCTTAGACAGCTATGAGTTAACTAATTTGACCTTTCAATCTTTGCCGTCTATATGTGGTTGTAGAGAACTTTGTCACCCAGATGAGAGTTTCTCTCTACGACGATTCCACCCGGATGGGCATCGCCGTATGCCTTACTTATGTTGGAGCAGACAAATTTATAAAATTATATATCATCCGGCCGTTGGCCTCACGTCTCTTAGACATTTGTTTAGCCACTAAGTTTTATACTTAGTTTACCATTTGGCCATTAGCCTCGTTTTTCTTTGTTACTGGTTCAAATCTAGTTCAAAATTAATTATGATTTAGTTCATTAGAATTGACCGTCTGTACCTTGTACAGATGTGTGAACATCTACTTTTGGCCTCCGTTCACGACAGGAAGTGCAATGACGATAAATAAAACCATCTTTGTGTTTGATCGAAGTGAAGAATGCTTATTGTTTGGGGGTTTTCTATGTGTCCTTCGGGAGAGTTACAATTTCCCAGCAGACTTCCTTCTTACGCCTGTACCTGCTCCTAGCAGACTTCCTTCTTACGCCTGTACCTGCACAAGTAACGGAGACTCCGGATGGGGGTGGGAGTTCCGCCTCCGAAGATTTAGTTAGTATCTTTTCGAAGTGGAATAAGAGCAATAAAAGCTTCTCGGTTCGAGAGCGTTTCAGTAGGTTTGAGCTTTTTTTTGTGTGGTTGCAATTAATGTGTGTTCCCTATAAATGAGGTCTACCCTTACTATTTATAGTGAGGGAGAACTATACCTCAATTAGGGTACAAGGGACACGTGTCGCAAAGGGATTGGGCCTTTGCAGACCGTTGAAAGATTGACACGTGTCAAGCCGTTATTGGGCCACGTGTCTTAGGGTATTTTCACCCTAAACATCTGCCCCTCACAGGTGAGATGTGGCAAACTCACGTGTCACCTGTGACAGACGTAGGGTGCATGGGGTAAGTGACGGTTCGTCTGCTTCCCCTTTTTTTTTTTTTTTTTTTTTTTTTTTTTTTTTTTGAATTTCAAATTTTCGCGCAGAAGGTGACTGTTCGCCTTCTGCCTCTTTCTATAAGTAGGGTGGCTACCTCTTTCCTCCGCACTTTATTTTCTTCAAAATTTTTAAAAATTTCCTGAGAAGCTCTGATACCGGCTGCTTCTTTCAAGACTTTCGAGCATCCGGTTTTCGCAAGAACTTGACATCTGCCTTCCGGCTGAGTGCGGATTTAGTAAGGTACCGTCTGCTTTCTCCCTCTGCCCCTAGATTAAGGGCCTCACTCGGCATTTTGCCGCCTGGGTATATTTTGTCCAAAAGTTCTGAATAACCCCTACCTCATCCGGGATTTCCCGTCTGAGGTTTTTGAAATATTTCCCTAGTTTTAAAATGCCCTCATCCGGCATTTTTCCGCATGGGGCTGGCTTGGGACAAGTCCAAAAATCCCCCTCATCCGGCGTTTTGCCGCATGGGCCTGACATTACTCCCATCCGGCATTGTGCCGCATGGGACCCCTTTGAGCCAACTTTGTTTTTATTCAGACTAGTTACAAGTAACCCCATCCGGCCTTTAGCCGTATGGGGGTGGTCTGATCAACCTTTGCTTTCAAACATCATTCAAATTGCCCCCATCCGGCATTTAACCGTATGGGGGTAGTTTGAGCAGCCTTGGCTTTTTCTCAAACATCATTCAAATTGCCCCCATCCGGCATTTAACCGTATGGGGGTAATTTGAGCAGCCTTGGCTTTTTCTCAAACATCATTCAAATTGCCCCCATCCGGCATTTAACCGTATGGGGGTAGTTTGAGCAGCCTTGGCTTTTTTCTCATACATCATTCAAATTGCCCCCATCCGGCATTTAACCGTATGGGGGTAGTTTGAGCAGCCTTGGCTTTTTCTCAAACATCATTCAAATTGCCCCCATCCGGCATTTAACCGTATGGGGGTAGTTTGAGCAGCCTTGGCTTTTTCTCAAACCTCATTCAAATTGCCCCCATCCGGCATTTAACCGTATGGGGGTCGTTTGAGCAGCCTTGGCTTTTTCTCAAACGTACAAATAGCCCCCATCCGGCATTTAACCGTATGGGGGTCGTTTGAGCAGCCTTGGCTCAAACTGTTTCAAATTGCCCCCATCCGGCTTTTAACCGTATGGGGGTCGTTTGAGCAGCCTTGGCTTTTTCTCAAACGTACAAATAGACCCCATCCGGCT